CCACAATCTTTTGGGATAAGGCTGATAAGCACCCACCTTTATCTCCCTTGAAATGCTGCCAATGACTAAATTGCCAATTAGCTGTACAAGGCCAAACAGAGCACAAAGTCAACACAGTGCTTCAGAGTTTAAACTGACCAGAACGAACAAAGTTGCTTCCTGCAAAGGCTCATGTCCCTTTGCTCCTCCTTTATGTCTTATGGGAGGGGCCAATCATCTCCAAGCCTTACTCCTGAGTCACCTCTTTTGTCTTAACTGTTCTTGCCTTCTGGCAGCTCTGCGCAAGCACGTACTGGGAATAGGCTCCCCCTGTTCCTCTGCCTCGTTGATGTCAGATTCTGGAGGCTCCAGAGTCAGCACATAACTCTCAGATGGCCCTGGCCCCATCTCTGTGAGGGATGCAGATCCCTCGTCCGAGCCCTCCTGAGACTCCAGGACTGGCCCATGTTCCTCCCCACTGTCCGACTCTGCTGCCAGGTCTGCAGGCCGCCAATGGACCACAACACTGCTAACTAGGGCATACAAAACCTTTGCCAGACCAATTCTTGAATACATCTCATCTGCCTGGAACCCACACTGTATATCAGATATTAACATGATTGAGCGGGTTCAGAGGTATTTCTCGAGAAGAGTACTCCACTCCTCTACTCACAATAGAATTCCCTATGCCTGCAGGCTCGAAATTTTGGGTTTGGACAATCTGGAACTGCGCCGCCTGCGGTCCCATCTAAACAGTAAACAAAATTGTCTGCTACAGCGTCTTGCCTGTGAACAACTTCTTCAGCTTCAACCACAATAATACATGGGCAAACAATCGATACAAACTCAAGGTGAACCGCTTCAAAGTCAATTGCAGAAAATATGACTTCAGCAACAGAGTGGTCAACACCTGGAATGCTCTACCCACTCCATAGTTACAGCCTCAATGTGATGACCTGGGGTGTGGCACAAAGGCAACGCAGTCAAATAAACAATGAGTCCCTTTATTATCTCCAACTTTGCCCCCGATGTCCAGGTTACCTTTGGCTGGAGAAAAACTCTCCCAGGAACAGCCTTTAACTGTAGTAAATTCAGTCCAAAACAAGGTACACACAAACTGTAACTTAAAATACAAACAAACCAAACTGAAGTAATTAGTTTGACAGGGCAGAAGAAGGAATTTCAGACTTGAAAGCATGGCAAAACTCACACAGTTGGGAAGATGCCAGGAACACAGATAAGCCACGACAATACAAGATAAAGTCACATTTGTTCCCAACAGCTTGCTGCACAGTTTGCCTTTTTTTATACAGTGTTCCCAGCTGCAGCTAATGAAGGGAATCAGGGCCCTTTCCTCCCCCATAAGCCACACAACCCACGTTGCTCTCTTCTCTGTTCCTCCCTGCATGGCCTAGGATGAAGAGAGGGTGGGCCTGGGTCTTCCTCTGAATCCCCTCTCCCTTGTTCTACTTCTCCCCGGCTCTGCCCAGTCGGACTTTGCCCTTCCCCAGTTTCTTCCACAACCAACGGAGCCACACTCCCTCTCCCTGTCAGCAGTTTGGCTTCCTGCTCAGAGTCAGATTCTGACAGGGGCATGACACTCAAACCCTCACAGCTTCAATCTCAAACTGTCTACCGTGGACCTCACCTCATTCCTAAGAGGTCCGTAAAGGGGGTGTGCATAAGCGCACCAGCATGCCTACCGTCCCTGTCCTACTGTCCCCATTTATCTGTATTTACTTCCTGTGTTCATGTTTATGTTCATACCTATACTTGTTATCTTGTACATGTTTGACAAACTAACAAACAAACAAATAAAGTTCAGAAGAGGCTCAGACAGACACCTCTCCAATTCAATTAAATATAAATAGTAGGAGAAGGTATAGCAGAAACCAGACTCTCAAAATTATATTATAGTCAATGTCAATAAAAGGAGTTTTAGAGTTGGTTTTTTTGGTCTGGTTGACTTAGTGGGGATGACTTTTAGCTGTGCTGCTAGGATGGCCTTCACACATTTGATGACCCTGCTGGGAATATATACACATGGCATCCATTCCTTGCATTGTTTTCTTATCCCTCTTAGGAATCCAACTGCCCACCATAATGATGCAGCAGAACTTGGGGGAGAAGATATTGTTACCATCCATTTAATTTTTGGCTATGGAATTTGCTAATTAGATCATAAGTTAATAGACCCTCTGGCATCAGTGGGGATAAAATTGTGTTGAAATAAACCCTGTGCTCTGTAGTTAACTGTTCAGAAAACACAGCTTTAGTAAAAGGAATTTATTAGGAAGATGCATCATGTTTGTTAAAGTGACTACATTAGTGGACCAAGGAAATTCTGTGGATATAGTATACTTAGATTTCAGTAAGACATTTGATAAAGTAGACCACTACCTCCTTAGTAAGATAGAACAATGCAGGATAGACAGTAACACTACCATATGGATCTGCAGTTGTCTGACTAACCATACTCAGCATGTTGTCCCCAATGGAACTACATCTATGTGGAGGAAAGCATGCAGTGGGGTACCTCAAGGTTCTGTCTTGGGCTTGTCTTCAAAATCTTCATAAATGACTTAGACGAGGGGATTGAAGGGTCACTCATCAAATTTGTGGATGACACAAAGCTGGGGGAAATTGATAACACTTTGGAAGATAGACATAAAGGAAGGAGTGGCAGAACCTGGGGACAGAGTTAAAAGAGGAATCAGCCTAGACTCTCTACATAGCCACAAACAAACAAATTGTCAACTCACGAAACATTTCTGACCTGCTCTCAAGTTGCCAAAGGCGAGGGGGATGGGGAATTGAGCCTCGCAATGGCATCGAGGAACTTGCATTTCAGTCAAAACAAAACACATTCCAGCCAGCAATGTCAATGTCATCTCCACGGAGATCCACAGAGGCTGGAGGGAGTGACTTCTACAACCCACGAAATTGCTTTGTTGGGGAATGTGACTAATGACACATCTTGGGGGGAGGGAGAAACAGCGTCAGAGCCAAAGCACAAATTAAGTGAGGTCAGAGTTGGCTTCACTTGGTCCATGCCAACATGAAGCTCCTAATAAATAGCTGGATTTCTTTTGAAGCTTGGCCTGAGGCTCATGATTTAATTAGGGCATCAGTCAGAACCCTGACACTAAGTCCAACCCCAGCCCCTTTAATTTTGTTGACCCTCCTAGCAGGTGCTAACCATTAGTTAAGAATATTCCTGTGTATAGGCATGAGTAGCAACAAATGAGTTTAATTGGACCCTCAGATTTGGACCTGAGAACATGAGGTCCATGTTCTCAACTCACTGAAAATTCCCAATGGACTTCAATGAAAAACACTGTTCTGCACCACCAGGATGGCATGGGAACCAAAGTGCTCAGTATGCCAGCCACTATGCTCCAACTTGTGCAACAATTGTAGAATTTGGCACAACTTCCACCTACAATAGCCCCAGCACCCACACCTGCTCTGTCAGCACTACTTATTTTAGAGAAGACTCATGGCAACTTGCTGGAAAGATTTGGATAAGAATCAGAAAGGATGAGAACCTTAATAGAACAGTGTGAGTTATTTTGGAGCAGTAGAAATTCTGTAGGTGATGAGCAGGCTGAGTCTGAGGGTAGGGTCAAATACCTCATTAATTTGGAGTCACTGCACTCCCACAAGAGACCAAAGTTCAGCCCCCAGTGAATTCCATTGACCCTTTATCCAGCATTAATCTGATCTACTCTCCTAAACTTTTACGTATACAGTATATGCTTTGTACTTATGCCACTATATATAAATACAAACCTCTGTGTACTGTATTTGCTCCTGGGTTGTCTCACCTAGTCACATTGTGCACACTCTGACAGGTTATGGGCCCAGACCAGAGAGGCCAGATTGACTAGAGAGACCAGAGAGAAGAGAAACCCAGTGAAAGCTTGCACCAGAGTCAGAAGGGCTGTGCATTGTGGTTTGCTAGTGGTTGGTGCTTGTAATGGAAACAAGCAACATGGCTTCCATCAGCATAATGGGAGGAGGTTTTGTGGTGTCTCAGCTGAATGAGACAAACTACCTCTCCTGGAGTGTAAAGATGGAGATGTATCTGAGAAGGTAGGAGTGGTGGACAATAGTTACTGATCCACCAGCAGCCCTGGATGATGGGGACCAGAGAAGAAATGAAAAGGCATTAGCCAGCATAATTCTGGCTTTAGAGCAGGGGTCCCCAACCACCAGTCCCCGGACCGGTACCAGTCCGTGGAACAATTTCTACCGGGCCGCCGGTTTGCTGGGCGCCGCCATCTTGTTTTGATGAAAAAGTGCTTCCGGTGAGCTTTTCCGGGTAGAAAGCGGCATTTGGGTGCTGAAAGAATCCTTGCGCCTTAGTTTCATCGAGGGGGCGGCGGCTTTGAACAAAACTAAGGCTCAAGGATTCTTTCAGCACGCATGGCAAGGCGAGCCGAGCGACCATCCCGAAGCCGTTGCGAAGCCCATTGACACAGGTACAAAGGAGGAGTTGAAGGTGTTAGTGTTTGGGGATAAACCCCTTAGCAGAGTGTGCAGCAGCAGTCAAGCCAGGCAGCCAAATGAGAGAGAGGCTGGGCCCTAGAGTATACACACACTTGAGACAAAAACACTGTTTGTGGTTTAAATAGGTATTTAATTCATACAGAGATTAAGAATAGTCATTCAGTCCATGTATCAGTATCCAGTTTATCAATCCAGTTATCAAGTCTTTTAAACAGTAAATACAATGTCTTTATCTGCTTGTAATCTTCTCTCTATGATACCTTTCTCACCAAGACAATGCTGAATCCTCAGCTCACTAGGCAAACAGTCCTTGTGTTCAGGTGAAATGGTATCTGGCACAGTAGCCTCCAAGAGTAAGCAGATAGACGTTCCAGCAACAGTAGGCAGCAGACCAGGAACAGTAACCAGGTGCATCTAATAGCCGGACTCAGACAGTTGCATCCAGAAGCCGGGGCTATTACGTTTCCCCTCCTACCTATATGGCTGCCTGCAACCGCACCCACAATGACATTGCAGTTTCTAGCTTAAAGCTACATAGCACTTAATCCTAGGTTTACATATTTATTCAACCCAAACCAGTTGGAGTATCCATATACCCAACAGAAGGTGGTGGGGAGAAGCGGGGGACAGCTGGCTGGCCGGTTGCTCGGCTCGCCTTGCCATGTGTGCTGATGCCGGTACCGGGCCGCGGATGATTTTGTGATGCCAGTACCGGGCCGCAGCACAAAAAGGTTGGGGGGCCACTGCTTTAGAGGACAGTCAGCTGATACACATGAGGGGTATCCAGTCTGTGAAAGAGTGCTGGGAGGCTTTGCGCAATGTGTATGTTAGAGAGACTGCAGGCAGTTAAGTGTTGTTGACAAGGAGACTGTATAAAGCACAACTGAAGCCAGAGGAGAGCATGTCAACACATCTGCAGGATATGAGAAAGATATTCCTGGAATTAGAGGAAAGAGGAATGACGTTTACTGAGGCACACAAGGTATATGTGGTGCTCAGTTTGTTGGACACTTCATGGGATGTTCTTGTGACTAGCTTAGAGTCCATGCAAGAGAGGGACTTAACCATGACATGTTTGACTGGCTAATTGTTGGAAGAACAGAAATGGCTGGAGAGGTGACCAGGAAAGGGAGGAGATAATGCTCAACACAAGCCAACATCTGCAACATCCCAGGATGCTGGCAGAGCAGCTGAGACTTGTTTACACAGTGAACCATTGCTTCATGTGTGCTTCTACAGAGCATCTCCAGAGATGCTGCCCTGAGAGGAGAAACAGAGGAGCAGCAAGACAATGGAGTAGGGCTACTCAACACATGAGGAGTGGTTCTTCATCATTGCTTTCCCTGGCAGCAACAGCATTTGGAAACACCAGGAATGCTTGGGTGTTGGACAGTGGGGCGAGTCAGCATATTGCTAATAATCCACTAACATTTTCTGGCTTGAGACCAGCTAAGCAAACATTTGTTAGTTTGGCCAATGGTTGAAAGTTTACTTTTAAAGGGGAAGGTAAAGTCTATGTGCCTGAGATAGGAGAAACTTTAGATAATGTCCTGTTCTGTCTCACTTGTAGCCACAAGTGAGAGTCCAAATGTCCCAAAGAAATAAACACGAACAAATAATACCAGAAACCACAGAGTTAACTTGTCTCTGAAATCATCGTTGGCAGCTTTCCCAGAAACTGTCTTCAAGCCGAGATAACGCAAGATAAATCAGGAACAGAGGGCTTCTTCAAAGCTGCGCAGTAATTAACGAAGTTTGATCCAGACAAGAGCCGTTAACTAACACGCCTCCTTATATTCCTTGGAGGGCCGTGTCAGTCTCTCTAATTAGTCTCTGACTTGACGTTTCTTTTCAAATTGTGCTTGACGTCTCAACCTACGTCTAGTCCTTGCATCAACCCAACATTCGTCCTCACTCAAGGACTCTGGTATGTTCTGTGGATCAGCTGCTGACACCTGAGGCATGATTGAAGTGGAAAGTTCTGGAGAGGAGGGAGTTTCCGACACTCCCTCATCCTCCTGGCTCACGTCTGCATCTCTCATTAGAGCAGGCTCCAATTCCAATGCCAAACCTTCCTCATCACTTGACCCTGTGTCTTCTGATACATCAGACTCAAAGCTCACAGCAGGCTCAAACCTTCCAGTCACAACACTGTCCTATATGTACCTGACCCAGATCATAATCTGTTGAGTGTTTCCAGGTTAGACAGCCAAGGGTATGATATACTGTTTGCAGGAGGACAGTACTCCATCAGGAAAGGTGGAAGAATTCGTTCATGAGGGGTTAAGAAGGATGGTCTGTACATTCTAGGAAGGCAGATGCATAGTTGTGCACGAACACTTACAAACACTCCCACACATGACAACTGTGTACGTTTATGGCACAGGAGATTGGGGCATGCAAGTATTAGAGTACTGCAGAAGATTCCAGACCTAGCTGAGGGACTTAAACCAAAGCAGTGCAAGATGTACTTAGATTGCACTGTTTGTAAGGAGTCAAAGTCCAGGGTGTATCCTGTGAGTAAGAAAAGCTCAAGGCAAACAAAGTCTTGCAGTTAGTGCGTGCTGACTTGATTGGCCCTATGGCACCCTCTTTAGGAGGAGCTAGATATACCCTAGTCATAGTGGATGACTAAACGAGATATGGGTTTTGTTATCTACTAAAAAGCAAGACAGAGGTATTCAAGCAATGGGTAAGACTTGTAGAGTGCAGGTATGGCTGTAAAGTATGCCAGTTGCAAACAGACAGGGGAACAGAGTTTATGTCTGATAATTTCCAAAGATGGTTGAGGAGTTTAGGCATAAGGCACAGGCGTACAAATCCCTAACCCTAACCCGAAACAGTGTATTGGACTGGGGTAAGGATTGCCTAATTTCTACCCAGAATTTAAACTAAGTTCACCAGAGTGTTTTTTCGAAGAAGGGAGTCTCCAGAGAGAAGGACAGAAGGAATTGTTACTTCTTTCCCACTCCGGAAAGCGGCAAGTGAAAATTTTGAGTGGATTACACACCCGCTGGAAATGAAAGCGAAGTAAAGAAATAACTATTTTCAGTTAGAAATTGAGAGGGCGGGGCTGACGTCACGACGAGATGGACGAAGGATCTTGGGGATCTGTGACCGATGTCGATATCCCTGTAGCTGGACAGTCCAACTGGACCTAAACCGTCCCAAAGAGATAGTGAATGAGGAGAGCACATCCTGCTGATCCCAGGGACATTGCAAAGTCCCTGGTTGATCCAAGAGAAGCTTTTCAAACTGGCTGCAGTGGAAGCAGCCATTGAAGCTGCTGAAAGTTGGGACAGCTCCAGAAAGGAAGAAGAAGAAAGTGTGTCAGCTCTGGGTGAGATTTAACTTATTTACCTTTTGGGACTGAGAACACTCTAAGGGGGAAAGAAAAGTATCCAAGACAAAAGAGGGGCAGCAGTGAAAATAAGCCTGATGTCAAACTGATTTGTTTTTTTTTCCTTTTAATTGCCATATAGGACTTTTTTTTAACTGGACTGGACTTTTTATTCAATAAACATTGAAGAATTAATTTTAACATTTATTTTAAAAGGGGAATTGGGTTTTTTTTTGTTAGTTTCCTTTTTATTTTTAATTTTTTATATATATATACATGTTATGTCCCACCTTCCAAAATAAACAGATAAGGCTGAAAGC